TTCAGCAGGTGAAACCCAGGGCAAGTTCCTTCAGCCTCTCTGACCTCTGCTTTTCCCCTGCACCTAGAGCTCACTCGGTTCTCCCCGCTGCAGAGGATGACTTGGAAGCTCATATATTCCTGCAGCGTGAAGCATCCAAGTACATCAAATGCACAACAATAGCAGAATGCTCTTGAAGAGGTACCAGAACCGCAGGCCCTGCCCAGCACTGCAGGACGATACATCTCGGTTCAGTGGAGGCAAGTACTTCCAAGACAGTCGTATTTATGCTTATTTTCCCATCTTGATCTCTTGCACATTTTTGCACAGCCAAAGGACTCAAGTTCAGGCAGATCATAAAGGAAATGAGTAACAAAGAACTGCAAAGAACTGCCCATGAGAACCGGCTGAATCACGTAATTACTGGCATCAACCATTCGTTCACGTTTGGGGTTTTTGCCCGTTTTCCCTGCATAAGAAAAGAAACCTCTATAACTGTGCTCCATCCTCTTCAGGTAACTTTTGGGACTACTACCACTTGTATCAATAGCAGAGAGATCTTTAGAAAGTTCCTTTCCTGCTTCATGACAATTACTCACTAGATCCAGGAGGTCCAAATGAACAATCTCTGTCATGGGACCAGTGAAAACCACACAGTCCTTTATGCTACATTTCTGCCTGCCTAACTACAGCACACAAGTGGGAGGCAGGACTAACATGGTAGCAAGGGCTTAAACAGCAACAGGCAAATCCCAAGGAACCATGATTTACCAATTCTGCTGCTTGTCACCCAAAGGGGTGGAATACTTGGGAAGAACAGTGCCACAGATGATGGGCATGGGAGCAGCAGCTCAGTGAATATATCCCTCCCCTCCTTCCCCCCCTACCTCCAGTGACTCCCGTTTCTGGAATTTCTGTTGTTAAAAGAAGTTCAGTTGAGTTCTGTACAATTCCCAAAATGGAAAATGGTGCAGGGACACAAAGTGGGTGTGATAGGGAAGACTGTCAGACACACACACACAAAGTGGGTTTCACACCTGAAAGACTTCTACTCTTCAGCATTTTAGCAAGAATCTCAACTTGTCCAGCCAGGTAAGCTTCTGCAGCCCCTTCCTTATCACCTTGCCCTCTGCCCCACTCCATGGCTTCTGACAGCAGCAGACTGCCTCCATCCCTACCTCAACCTAGAATAATCTATTATTCCAGCCTTCATCTTCCCCCACAATAGGCACTATTCAGAGACCTGATAGCAAGGTTCTCCATCAGCCATTTGCATATCAGGTTGACATCCCACGCTGCTTCACAGCTCCCTCATGCAAATTTCCCCATCTGGATTTCATCACGCTCCTCTCCACCTCTTCCCTTACTGTCATAACCTTCATGTCTGGTTCAGTCTTTGGTTCAGCTGCCACAGCAGTAATCTGAAGAAGTATTAAGAAGCTATGCCTTAGCAAAAAGGTGAACAAAATTAACTTCTTTCTGGCATGGACAATTATTCTGGCTCTATGGGCCTGTGCTCACTAGGGAGACTGGAATCTGTTGGCCAGCTCTGAACAGCAGCCTCCAAGATACTCAGTCCCAAGAAGATGCACGTGATCTCAGTGCTTGGGAAAGATGGGGAGGGAAGGATGCAACATGAACTCTAGCAACCTGAGAATCTACGTGGAGATGGGCAGGAAAGAAAAGGAGGTTTACAAAGGCAGCAACTGCTGGGAAGTTCCAGACAGCACTTGTAACCGACTGGGCAGGAGAGAATGAGACCTCATCACTGCCGCAGAACTTAAGGAGCTTGGCTTTCTGAAAGAAACAGTAGCTCAGAAGTAAATGCACAGAAATCTTTTAAAGCATATCCAACATGTCAAAACAGAACAGGAAAAGATTAGTCTGTCCTGAAACAGAAAAAAGTTTTCTTTTTGCTTCTTTAAAGAAAAAGTGGTCTGACTCATTTTTGTACAAAGTTCACAACTACCAAAACCCTAAAAGAGGAACAGGCCACATTGTATTACTAAAGGTCTTTCACCTTTTCCATACTAGAATGGAACAGTGAGTTTCTACCATCTTGACTGATCTCAAACAAGACAGCAAGAAGCAGATTACTTCAATTAAGTCTGAACTTTCCAGCCAAAGCCATTCTTTACAAGTGCAATCTCCGAGTTTCCCATTCCTATTTATTTTCCATCTTTCAATGTCTACTCCCCACCCACCCACCTCAATTTTCAGGAAATGATACTATCTTTACATAAAATATAGCCTAAGGAATGGCAAGGATGTTACTGTTTTGTAAGACTGTGTTTGGGATTAACCTTATAAAGAGAAATCCAGAGATAAAAGCTGCTTATCTGGGCAGGATGCTCTGGCATTCCCAGCTAGAAGACACCAAAGCAGTATAAATCAAAGCATAATCCCCATGAAAAAAAAAAAAGAAGAGGGGTTTTTTTCTCTTTGTTTTTTCCCCTGCTGATATTTCAGACAGTGCTTCCAAAAAAACCTTCCATCACCAGGTTACAAGTGAAGGAAAGTCTAATTCTTACCTTGTTTTCATGTTGTATGTTGATAAAACTTGCCTTTCTGGATCTGGGCCTTTGTTTCTAAAGAGTTGTATCTCTGCAACAATTGCACAAAAATACCCTCAAAACAACCAAACCAAACCCAGGGAGAGGACAGGATTCCAGCAGCCTCAGGTTTCACACACCAGAACAGTTCTAAAATCATCCCTTGAGGAACAGTACAAATCTTCAAGATTTACTTAAAACACCAGGGCAGACACAGACACAAAGTTTTCCATTGGTTTGCTCTTTAATGAACTCCCACACTGGGGACCAGTGTACACCTGATATTCCTGTCGAAGTCAACCACCCCAGCTCCTTTTATCAGGCAGTCCTAAACTGTGGTTCCCGAGGAGCACTTGCTACCCAAGGGATTCAAGTGGAATTCCTGCATTAGGGTTATGAACACAGAGGCCCGCTGGGTGATCAGAAGTCAAGAGTCTGGAAGTGAGCAAGCACTGAGCAAACTACCACACACACATACAAGTTATGCTGGGGTCCAGCTGCATATCTAGACCTGGCTTATCTCCCAGTGGCAAGTCAACATACCTGGAGGGTCACTGTCACTGCCTGCCCTGGCATCATTCCTACAGCTCTTTCTCTTCCCATTAGGCTAAGACATGGGGATGTGTGTCTTGCTGTACTTCAGAGGGAGGAAGATGTGATACACAGCTCACACAATCAGAAAGGAAGATCAGAATTCCAGAGTTTTTAAGTCTAGGAAATGCAACTCCAGATGTGGGGGGTAAACTATCTATTGCGAGCTGCCTTTGAACAGCTGATCCAAACAGACAAAATCAGAGGCCTTCTCTGCTTCCATTTTACAGTAAAAATCATTCAGCTACCATTACTGCACTAGAGTATTTTACTGTTACACTTTCTAGTGAGAGAGAGCAATAAATTGTCCAGAGAAAGATCATATCTCAAACTCTGAAGGAAAATAATCTATCAGCAAATGAACCGTCAAAAAATCATTTATGTAAAAACATGTTCTATTTACAAAGGTCAATTTGCTCTTTAGGACAAGCACTACTGGAAAAAATAAACATACAGAAATGCCTCATCTTTCAAACAGACATTTACTAATACTCTGCTTTGCTTAAACTACTAGAAACATGAAGATACTTGAAATTAAAGAGTACATTCGGCATGCAGTTAGGATAGAAATTACATTACTAGATTTCAGTGCGTCATTTATCATTATCGACACACTCTTAGGCTCTTCTAAGCCACCACAGCCTGGCTATTACCTTAGGATCTCAAAAGGAGGACATGGATCTTCATTAACAAGTTACCAGTTACTCTTCATTTTGCCATTAAAAAAAGGACATCCCGATTGTCTTCTCAGGAGAGTCCGGTCTCGTCAAACTTGGTGTCCTTTTCCCTGAGTTTCCCTTTAGTGTTTTGCGAGGCATGAGGATCGTTGGCTTGGTGTAGTTACAAGTCCTGACTCAGTACTCTTCCCATTACAAGGCAGAGTTCAGGAATTCAAGGAGTTGTGCACGGTTCCGGTCCCTCTGTAGAGCACAAAGGCAGAGGCAGTGGTTTAACAGACCTGTACCCAGTGGAGCAAGGCAGCCTAATCCTGCTTTCTGTGGGGCTTTCACCTCTCAGCATACCGCCCAGCAGGCGCTACCACATTCACAGAGCTGGGTATGAGCAGCTACCACTACGGTGTGCGTGCCTGGAGAAGCGCAAAGCAGCAGGTACTCAGGAGAGATGCTACAGGAGACAAGCTGTCATTGTCACTATTTCATGATACGTTTCCTAACTGGCTCCCTCTGGAGGCCCCACTGGGTTGTCATCATGTAGCTCATAGCTTGCTCAGGAGGGAGCCTGCAAGCAGAACCGATGCAGTTCCCTGGTGTCTGCGGCAATGTTCTCTGTACACACAGCAAGTCTTGTGCTTTGGGAAGTACTGTTGTTTCCTACGCATAAACAGCAGCTTGCAGCATAACAGAAATGGAACCACGAATTTAGGATCTTTCTTTATGTAAGAGATGGCCCAAACAGTCAGAACACTTGTTTCCAGTGGTTTTAGTCACAATTTACAAAACAATCATTGAAGCTCAAAATACTGCTAAGAATGGATGTGTTCAATTCAGCATGTTTATGACCATGGACACCAAACAACAAAGGACCAAATATTTGATATCAAGTACTGTAAGAAGCAGGTTACTGGGATAAAGCTGGCAAGCATTCAGCATCATTTAACACAAACTTCAGTGCCACAAAAGGAAGATAATGTCTTTTTGATCAAATTTAACTTGGAATACTCAGGTCTGCTTTGGCAGCTATAGAAAATGCTCCATCCCTGGCAGTGTTCAAGGCCAGGTTGGATGGGGCTTGGAGCAACCTGCTCTAGCGTGAGGTGTCCCTGCCCATGGCAGGGGGTTGGAACTGGATGATCTCAAGATCCTTTCCAACCCAAACCAGTCTGGGATTCTACAAATCAGAACCTGCCAAACTGGATACCTCAGCAAAATAACACTTCTAACACATACTGAGTAGTACCAGAACCCCACTGCAGATCACTCTAAGGTGTGGAAACTGATCAAACAAGCAAACACATTATGGAAGTGCTGAGACCAAACACCTCAATAGCACAAAATAATATTCATGGTATCTATTTTCCAGGGTACTTCAGCAAAATCATCTGACTGCTCCGAGACAAGGCATGAGCGTGTGGTCCTAACACTACTGTTGTCTAATTCCTCTCTGAATAATGGCTAGTCTCCCATGCATTAGAAAAACACAGTAAAGCAGCAATTACCACCACAAAAGACTGGATGAAGATGAGGACAATTAAAACCAGCGTAAATTAAATGCACAGAAAAAGCCACAAGTCAGCTAAACATTACAGACTGCAGTTCTAAGAACCTGCACAAGCATCCTTCGGTTATCTACTCATGCTTGAGTATTCCAAGCCCCCTCATAACACAAAACCTGCCAAAAGAATGAATATGAATTTCTCAGATGGCATCATAGCCACATTAAAAGTTACACACAATTTACAACTCCTACCTAAGAGCTACGCTTCAACAAAAGACTACTATTAGAAAAATATTAAAAGATACAGTATTTTCCCTCAGGGATTTATAGACTATTCTAGCTCTTACCTCTAGATCCTTCTTAGTCTTCTTTATTCTCATCTTAATTTTCTTTCCAGTTATCATGCTGTAGTTTTCATTCTTCTTTTTGTTTTTAAAGAACTATAATGAGATTACACATTAAAAAGACCTAATTATTTTGTAATATTGCAAATCTTAAATTAAATTACAGACAATATTCTTTTATACTTCCTCACTGTCTGAAACAAAAGAGAGAGGTTTCTATCTGTCAATGACAAAACTGGTGGTGTTATAAAGATTTTTATGACAGGACAGATTAAGAGTTTAGATGAGAAATACAATGGGACTTCAGACTCATATGAGCATACCTTGGAAAGCTGGACAGGTCCTGTTTTCTCTTTCTTCTTCTTCTTTTCTTTCTTTTTCTTCATTTTGCTATCTTTTTTCCTTTTCTACAAGTATGAGACATACACTCTTAAGCTTACAGACTTACAAGGGCAATAAAAAAAGAATATCCACAAGTAGCTCTCAACACCCCAGCTAGTCAAGACAGCCACTACTGACCGCCCTTTCCACTGCTGAATAGCTACTAGCTGAAGTACACATTAAGTAATGCAGCAGTGTTAGCAACCATCAGGATCTTGAGAGGCTGATCCCATGTTCTCTCTCTTTCAATGTAACCCAAATACACAAACAGAAGAGAAGGCCCTAATAAAATGAAAAATTACAACAGCAAGAATCTACTGCTCTCTCATTGACTATAAATTGTTTCTTCTGAGAAATTCTGTAATGTTATCAAGATTCCCCATTCCTCTTTTCTTCAGAGACTACTCTAAACTCTAGCTGGACCTGCAACGATTGGCAAAAGGAACCTTTAAATTATTTCTCACACAGTCAAGTATATGCCAACCTATCAGTTCACCTCCTGCAACCCTAAAAGGATGACTCAGATTTACACAGCCACTGGTTATCAAAAAATGAACTATTTTCTGTTTGCTAATGACTTTGTCATTGTTTACCTTTTTGTTGTGTTTTTCTTTTTTCTTTTTCTTTGATTTAGACTTAGGAGAATCTAAAATTAAACAAAACAAACCCCTGTAAGTTTAGCATTCTGAAAAAGGCATTTGGTTTTGCAGATAAAGCATAGAGAAATGTAAAACCCGAGAAGCAAATGCTCCGATTCAGCTGTATATATGTGGCTTAAACCACGACAATATATTAACACTGGTTGAAACTAACCCTGGGAAAAGCAACACATCAACTTACTGCCACTTACTGGTCTAACATGGAAACTGAAAATACCTGGTTTACTCTGCAATTACTTACACCACTGGTCATAGAGACAATACTTCTCTCTCCTCCTCTGCAGCTGTGCTCAACAGATTGCAAGTACCTGCTTTATAGCCAGGGATTTTGACTCTCAAAGGAGGCAACAAAAAGTATTGTTGGGGCTGAAAAACCACTGAAAAGATTATCACTGTTCAAGGCAAACGAAGAACTTTTCGTACTTACTCAGCTCACCTTCCAACTTCAAGGGGTTTAGTACAATTTGTAAAGCAGAAACTCACTAGTTCTATAAGCCAGTAATAGTTTTTACACTGTGACTGGTATGTGAGGAAGTCTATTTTGAAGCACCAGCTTTGACTATAGGACTGTAAACCTACAGTGTCAAACAGCTTACTTGTCTCCCAGCAGACTGCCTCCATGCCAACAGCTCCGCAGTGTCTTTACAACAAATGCCAAACAAAAGATAACGTTATAGGAATACACCAGAGCACAGCCAGCCTCAAAAGTCAGGAAAGCCTAAGGTAAGGCTGCCCAAGCAATCTGCTTCTGGCCTTCTAATGATAAAGCATACCGGAAGAAACAATTAATATGGCAATTCTATCACCACGTTCAGTCTCTTGGTAACTGGACTAAGTGCCCGCAGGGGATGGATGGTATACCTGGCCAGAGGGCTTTTACAGATGTTTGCCAACATCAAGAAAGGGGTTCAAGAACACTGGGCCTCCTTCCAGGCTCTGAAAATCAGAGCACTATAGTGAACAGACACTTGCCCAGTTTTACCCCTTTGCCCACATCTCCTCTAGAGTCAGTTTTTACTTCCCACCATCCTAGCCATGGTTCTCATGACCACAAACACTAGAAGAACCCCTCTAGACTCCTGCACTGAACTGCTGACTTTTTAGGCTAAGCAAAGCCATCTTTTCCTCCTGTTTCACTCATTTTCAGTTGCCATCCCTCCCCATCTAGCCTCTTCAACAGCTCCATCTTCTTTCATACTGGGTCCACCCTACCTCCCTAATTCTAGCACTGATTTGCCTGCATGTCTCCTGTCTGAGGGGCAGTGGCAACTACCTGCACCCACCTACCTGTCTTAGCTCAGTTACCCCACGTCTTTTTTTGTCTAGATGGAATAAATAGAATTGTTTAAATATGCCCTTGTAGGACGTTTTTTTGCTAGATCATTCTCTCTGCCCTGTGAATGGGAGGTGTGTGTAAAGAGGTACCTTCACACAGCAGTAGGAAAGGATTATGAGAGAAACCCCCTGAACACGCAGTACTGGTATTCTACATTGTCATTTTGTGGTGCTTTAGCCACATTTAAAATAAGCTTTTAAATGTCTCCGGGAGTGGTAAATATCATGTGTACGTAGGAAGGTATCTTACCTCTGCTGCTTGAAGAAGATGACCTCGATGATGAGCGCGAGGAGGAGGAGGAAGTGGATGTAGTGCTAGAAGACGATGTGGATGAAATGGATGACGATCTGCTTCTACTGCGTTTTCGTTTCCTTTTCTCTTTTCCTTAGGATAACAAAAGGCAACAGTGACAAGCACGCTCGTACCTATGGTCTACAACAGTGACTCTTGACACAACTTAAAACCTTTGAAATAGGGGCTTGAAATGTGTTTTTCCCCCTCTTCCAGTGTGACATAGTCTATTACAAGTGACAGTGTTCAGTACGAGGCAGGGTCGGACACAGTGACTGATACAAGGGTTAGCACACGCAACACCGCAGCAAGGGAACAGACCAGCACTGCCTACCTCGGCCTTTCAGCCCTTCTTCTGGAGCTGCACAGCGCGTTCTACTTTTTTCATCCTTCCTGTCATCCATACCTACCGACACACAAAAGCACAGTAAATAACACCACTGGCACAAGATTTTTGGGGGGGGAAAAGCGCAGTGGGGAGACAGAGGAAACCCGTGCGCACCCGCAGGGCAGCACCA